CTGGCGTTTTTAGTAAAGAAGGTTTTCACTTTGGGAGTGAAATTTGGCTGCAAGCCACTCTGACTTAAGCGGGAAGGGTTTGGCCATTCTCACTTCTATAAACACGCCAGTTGTGGGGTTAACTCTTCACAGCCTGTGCTGCTTAGGGGCTGATTTGGGTGTAATCATGGGGCCATGTCTCACAAATGGGAACCAGTAAAAAGTCAGAAGATGGCACAAAGGGCATTTAAACAGCTGTTCACATAAGAAGTAGAAGAAAACTAGGAAAAGAAAAAAACACTCCATGGAATGTAACTAAATATAAGAAATCCAATAGAAAAACAGGTTCTCACCAGCTTCTACAGAAAACTAACATATCACCTACAAGAGAAACCTATCAGAATGGCAATAGAATTCTCAGAAGAAAATCTAAAAGCAAAGGAAGCATGAAAAGAAGTGTTTCAAGCTCTTTAAGAAAACAATTTCCAACCCAGCCTGGTACAAAATTCTCATTCAAACTGAAGGAGACCCAATGTCCTTCAATGATAATGGAAACCTACAGAAATTCATGACAGGTGAAACAACACTCCAAAACGTTCACAAGGACATCCTAGAAGAAAAATGTCCTAGAGTCAATAATGTTGCTAAAGTGTCTGATAAAAAGAATGTATGAAGTATGGCTAGCAATTTAGTAGTACAGAAATAAGGCAAGACTCATTCAGAAATAAGTCTATATTTATCAAGTATAACTATGAATGTGTATCGACTCAACTCAGCAATCACGGACAGATTAGCAGCAGAATGCAGAAAGAAACAAAATCCAACAGTACACTGCCTACCGGAATCACAAGTAAAACAAAAACTTCACCAACTCAAATACGGGGACCACGCCATGTGACATGGGCCCTACAGATCCCAAGATGGACACCACAATTGCTCTAGAAACTGAAAAGGTAATAAAAAGAACCAGAAGGGTTTTCTCTGTGTGTGGGAAAACTCATAATCACAGCTTTCCTAGGGCAAGATACCTTCTGCTGAGTACAATCCATAGAATGCAGGCATCCAGGTAGAAGGAAGGATCTGTTCCCCATTAATCTTGTTCCCTATTACTCTGTAGTTGTACATTTACTGACATCTAGCAGTCACTGTACTACAAATGCTGCCCAAAACCCTCCTGCGCTTTTGGTTTTCTAGTATTAGCAGGTCCACCCAGACTGCTGAGAGTGTCTACTAGAAGCACATCTGCTCCCAGTCCCCCTTCTACTTTGAAATTGGTCTGTCTTCCTTTATTCCTCGTCAACACCCCCTAAACGGGTATCTAGGGGTTCGGATCAGCACCTGGCAACTGGAGTCCAAACAAGGACTTCTGACCTGAGGGGAAAAGCCCTTCAGATGGGGCAAGGAAAGGAAAAGGAGGTGACAAGGGACTCCGTGGGGCAAAATCAGGGATTTCAAGATAAAGTGAAAGAGAACCACTTGGTGCCATGGATGGATTCCAGCACAGATAACTGGAAAAACTTGTCAGTAACAGAACAAAGGTGTGTACTGTTGGTAAGGCCTCGCTCTGTTTCAAAACTCCTGGAAGAAAGGGCCTCTGATTAGCTCCCTGGTGCAGCCCCCTGCCTCACAAGCACAAGAGTGTTCTGTAAACGCCCCTTACCCCTCTGTGAGCACGCGTGCCCAGGGTGGATGCTCTGCAGCTCTGCCCTCCTGCTTCTGTGATCGTGCTCACCTGGTACGGGGCCCAGCCCTTACCCCTGCCTGGCACTCAGAATTCAGCGTGGCCAAACTGCTCTGAACCAGCCAGCGATCAAAGGGTTTTCTTCATCTTTTCCAGTAACTTTGGATTTGTGGCTTCCAATTGCTGTGATACAGAGAGAGCTGTAATACCAAGCCCTGCACCGGCTGTCACACTGGGCCGTTCCACTTTGCCACCACACCTGATATAAGATGTTCACAGGTACACTTTCATTGCTATGGACTTTTTCAAAAACTTCTTGGTAAATGCATTTTACCTACAAAATTATGTGTCAACCTATTTACTTCTAAAAACAAACACCATTTTGGCATTGCTTTTATTTCACTGTAGTTGAGTTAATGACTGGAACTTCACACTGAGCACGTCTTTTGGAAAAGACAAAAAAAAATTCGGGATTCTTATCAAGAATCTAGTGGCCCGCATAAAGAGATTACCTCAAAATACTAAGGAAATAATGATACTAATGCAATAATTGCATTGAAACTATCATTTCCTTACCCCAAATTATTCTTTTAATCATTTCTTTCTTTCAACAAACACATGATTTTAATCCTTCCATTGCATGGCATCAGGCCCAGCCTCAAAGTGTGAAGGAAGGTTTGTCAGAGCTGTCACCTTGAGCCCTGGTCCCTCCCAGGGATCAGTAACTGGCATGGCTGGGAACTGAGCAAGTTTCCATGTTATGGACAAAAGAACACAAGAAAACAGATATTCCCCTGCTGAACATTATAGGGATTTTTAAGAGAACATGAACCCTAAAGGTGCCACAGGTGTCCTTCGTCCATCTGAGGGCCGGGCACCGCCATTGATAACAAGGCTGAGGTGTGAAATCACAGGGCCATCACAGGCGCCCCCTCCCGGAAGATTCAGCAGCCCTGGAGACAGCCAGGGGATCTGCCATCTCCCTGCCACAGAAAGGTAAAGAAAATCAGGAAAAGTAGACCAGATTTCTAGCTCTGCACACCATAAACATCTTGATTGAAATTGTTTCGTACTCTTTAATGCACGTTACACTCTCGTACCACAGTTCACACTACATTGGGATGAACCATTTCTTCCTTGAGGAAACACAGTCCCCCTGCACTTGTTATCCGCGGATTAACAGGAAGGACAGCACTGTCCACACACACACTTCACACAGGAAGATCGGCACGGCATGAACGACTCATAAAGGGGATTTAAATCCACGGAATAATGGAGTCTCAATGTACTGAAAAACAGAACTGTGTAGGACAAGGTGTAAGCGGCGTTCAAGTGGTAGTCACTCTGAAGGATACATATAATATATTTGCTTTTGAACTGACTTGCCCTTGAAACTCTTTGTTCCAGGAGAGCAGGAGACAAACTCCTTCTCAAGCAGGACAAGTGCTGTGCCTGACACAGGGCCTCCTGTCAGCTCTTCTGCACGAGCCCATCATGAAGGGTGCGTGCGCAGATCCACGGGCTGATGTGCAAGATCCTGACACAAGGTTCTGAGCGAGGGCTTGGATGTTTGCTGCTCTCTCCCAGAATATAATTGTGATTACGTTTGTGTTCATTGTTATACACCTACTTTGCATTGGAGGCATTGGGTTTTAAGTTGCTATATTATTTTAAAATGTATTTTAAAGGAAAAGTAAAAATTGTATATATTTATACAACAGAGCTTGATATTTTTCTCTGCAGACTTTGGGAACTGGCTGAGCCAACCCATTTAACATAGGGATTCTCTCACACACTTCTTATACATAAATGACAACCAGTGGTGCACGTGATGCTATCCTCTTGTCTGATTCTCTACGTTCCTCCTAACAAGGTTAGGAAGAGCGCAATTTTTCACTCTATGTTTATTTGAGGAAAAGAAAGTGTCAAAGCAACGTTTCCTAAGGGAAGTTCGGCAGGTGGAGGAGGGAAACGGTGACCACAGAGGGGCCAGGAGAGATGAAGGGAGGCTGCAGTCTGTGCCGGGGCTTCGGGGTGGCAAGGAGCAGAGAAGGCTTCAGGGAGGAAGAGTCCTGTGCACCCTGGGCCTCTGTCTGTGGGAGAACTAGAGCCGAGCAGGGATCCAGTCGGGACGTGGAAGAGACCTGGAGAAGCAGGGACACGGTCCTCCTGCAGTGCTGTCATCTTCCCCTTAGCTCAGGAGTCCTGAGGGACAGAGGACAGCAGTGATTCCTGAGCTGACTCTGAATGCAGCACCTCTCCCCTCTCAGGACAGCATTGCAGTGAGAGAAGAAAAATCTCTTACGTCTCCCTAAACCGATGCTACCTCAGAGCACAGGGTTTTATTAAGTGGAACGAATGTTTAGTGTAGCTGCCTGGCCAGAACCTTGCGTCCAAAATCTTTCACATTACACTAAACCCATGACTTCTGAACTCAATACCTTTGAAAGAGCTGTTGTGACTCAAGTTGGTCAACTGAAGGCCAGGGCTCCTCTACTCAGACGTCAAAGTCTGTGCTGTGTACAGGCAGACTCAGTGTCCTTAGAGAGACATGGGCCAGAATTTCTAAACTAACCCCACACAGGGAAGGATGATGTCATGTTCCTTCCAGAACTCTTTACAGGGTAAATCTGAATCTAGGCCACCTGGAATCACCACAGCCGGCATTCAGGTCACAACTCAAGACTTTGTTCACAAGTTCAAACTAAAATTTTGCTCATAACCCAGGTCATCCTTAATGTCATGTTGGTCTTAACTCAAGGGAAAAATGTACTTCTGTTTCCTGTTCATCTTTTTCTGTCCCTCATAGGAAGAACACATCTGTCTCTGAGACAAGATTCAAGGACACTGGACCTTACCTGTTGGTTGAACTGCAGGGTGTCCTAGAAAAGAGAAAGGAAATAGAGACTTAAATAAAAGTCACAAAGGCAAAACTCTCACCACATTCAGCATCCCCAGTGTCAGATGTGTCACCTGAGATTTCTCTGACACCACGACCTCGGCTGCCCAGGTGCAGAAAGGAGCACAAACCACCAGAATGTGACTGAGGAGGCATCTGCCCTGTAAATCCCCTGTTCAGTCCCCTTCCTTACTCACCCTCAGCTCTCCTCCCAGGATTTCTGGGCTACTCTACCTGTCCCTGTCTCTGCAGGGCACAGCCCCTGAGTTTCAAAAAGGATTCATGAACAGTGTCTTTGTAAACTCTCAGGAAAAATAAAGTAACCTGCAGTAAGAAAGGCTTCCTCCAGAAACACCAAAAGACCATGAACCCTTCACAGTAAAACAGTCTATTCCACTAGAAAAGGGTAGGGAGGGGCTGAGGCACCAGTAGGCTTCTTACCTTTCTGATTCCTGCAGTAGATGAACAGCCCCGCCCCGAGGAAGAGCAGACCCAGCACAAAGCCCCCGACTCCACTCAGCATCTTGCTCCGTGCAGATCCAGACTGTGCCCCTGAGAGAAGGTGGCGGGATTAGGGATTATTTTAACCCAAAATCCCAGAAACCTCTTGAGATCCCCAAGAGTCAGAATTTTAGGACTAGAAGACTGATTCCTGCACTCAAAGCTAGATGTGGTCATTCCTGGGAAGAAAGATTTAAAAATTGCAAATAGAGTAGGTGTGAGGCTCATGCCCTGAATTCTCCTAAATCTCACTGCCCCGCAATAACCCGGATGTGAGCAGGGTCTGGAGCTCAGTGAGCTGAGCAGCCCTCCGGGAAGACAGAGCTGATGAGAGGCAGAGCTGAGGGCGCCTCCTCTCCTGCCAGGAAGACCCAGCACTGCTCCTCCTCCAGATCACAGTGAACAGCCCAGAGCAGCAGCAGCAGAAACACAGGCCCAGCCCAGGGGAAGGGTGTGGGGTCAGGGCCGAGGGGTGACCATGACCAGAGACAGCATGAGAAGGTGCAAAGCAGGGACACTTCTCTTCCGTGGGACAGGCATCCTGCCTGCTGAAGGTGCACAAGTGTTTATAGAAACTCTCCCGGTTCCACCCCTAGGAGTTGTCCCACTGGAGATCAGAGCATATTTCTGTAAGGGACGGGCAGGCTGACCCTCGGGGATAAGGGAAGAGCCCCTGTGTGCAGGACAGGAGCTCAGAAGGTCCGGCTTCCCACTCACTCCACTCCACGGTGACGGGGCTGCTCCAGCTCGGGTGCTCCACCCGGCAGACGTAAACCTCTCCGCTCCGAGGAACTGTTTCCAGCATGACCAGGGTCTGGAAGGTCCAGTCCCCGTTCCGGATCAGGCCTGTGGACACCACCCCGTCCTCCTGCTCCTGGCCGTTCCGGAACCACCTGACTTCGATGTGGCCGGGGTAGAAGCCACTCACAGAGCACACCAGGAGGCTGTGGTGCTGCAGGGCCTGGGTCTTGGTGGGGTACACGGTCACCTTGGGCTCCACTGGAGGAGAAGAGGCCGAGAGAGGGAGTCAGGCAGGCGGTGCCGTCCTTGGTCTCCTGTCCAGGGAGGGACCCAGGTCCTCACGGGCCTCCTCACACCTGCCTGGGGCCACAGGAGCCACTGTCAGGAGCCTGCAGTTTAATCCTCTCAGCAGGGCCCACTGGGTTTGAAAAGAAATGAACAGTTTTCATAGCTGGACCTGATCGCTGCTCACTGAGGAAGGCGCTCTCAGGGCTTTCCAAGGCCAATGAGTAGGGATGAGAGGGAGACTCGGGAGCCCTGGGGAGAAGGGAAGCAGCCGGGAGCCTCAGTCCTCTGCACAGATGCCCTCTCTGCCTCCCTGAGGAGCCCCTCTCCCTACCCAACACACCTGTCTCTTGTCGGGACTGTGACCAGGTTATCCTGGTCTCTTTCTCCACTGACCCTTGGAGTCCGCAGCAGGGTGTCCGGGACTTAATAATATGTGTGCTCCGTGCCTGTTACCGTCCTGTCAGTGCCACCCTCAGTGATTCATTTTCCAAATGAGAGCATTTTCCCAACACCAGAGAATCACCGACAAGATTGCTGACAAATCGTTACTAACAATGCTGCCTCGTGTTTTATTAAATAAAATGTCTGCATTCTTCACAGGAGCACTATTAATAGAAACAAAGCATAAACCAGAAAATGGAGAAAACCCTGAATGAGATATAGACAAGATGTAAAAATATTTTTTATGAAGAATAAAAAAAAAATCCTTAAAAAAACATTAAGACCCAGAGAAGCAGGAATTTGTATATGCAAATACATTTGCATGTACGTATGGCGAAAAAGGTCACAAAATATATAAATCAGAAAAAAACAAATTTAAAAATTGAAAATATAATATTTTGGAGTATGGGTGTATATTTATATCAGAGAGTTTCCAATTGGAAAATTCATCCCTATAGCAAAAATTTTGAAAAACTCTGTGTGTACTGCTTTTATTTTTTTCTTGTCCATTTTCCTAAAGGATCTAGCAACTATGTTGACACATTTGCTGTGTGTTAGGAATTATGTGTAGGTTAAACATGATTTAATATATAAGGGTGGGTATACATACATTATATGCAAATATTCCACCATTTTGCAGAAAACACTCAAATATTCTTTCAGATTTTACTGTTCAAGGAACCAAATCCTGCCAATCCCACAATTAAGAGAGAACTGAATTGGTCAATATTTAAAAATCATCTCTCCAGCTATGCAAAGTTATATGCACCAGGCAAGCCAAGGAGCCCTAAAGGAAGCCCTGGGAAAGCTCACAGGCCCCTCACCCCTGCCCACCAGATCACCCTGACACCTCTCTCCCTGAGGTGCTCTGCTCACACAGCGCACTGTGTCTCCTGGGCCCTCTGTAGAGAAGGCTGGGAGCCCAGGCCAGGCTGTAAGCAGCCTCCCCACAGCACCCCAACCACTGACACCCAATGTCCCCACAACTGCTCCCCAATGGAAGATGCCTGCACTCCTGGGCCCCTCTGAATCTTAGCCTTCACCCCAATCCCTGCTCCCCTCACCTCAGGCTGGCCTTAGCCTCCCTCTCCCTCCCCTCTCCAGGGACCCTTCCTCCCCCACCCTTCAGCCCCTCCTGCAGCTCACAGCCCTGCCCAGCTCTGTGTAGC